GCTGCAACTTCCTAAGTCCTTTATCGAGTAACTTATGATGTGTCAAAAAAAGGAAAAAAAAAAAAACCCCACTGCCAACAGAAGTTAAACTTTTTCTAATAGTTTTGTTCCCAGAACCATTGTGCTGGAAAAAAAGTTAATTAGACACCAGCAAGAGTAAGGGATCTCACTGCAACCTCGCAGCTCTTTAAAACGGCTTGGCGCAGAATTTAATACCAACTGTTCCACTTTGATAATTCATATGAGTCTACTGGCTCATGTCTGGGGACAGATGACATCTGTGGTGCGAGGGGGGAAGAGGCTGGATTTGAGCTGTGACGTCCTGAATAACTTTTCAGATGTTTTTTAATCCACGCTTGTTCACACTCGACGCATTTGGTTGGAAATCGTTTAAATTCGTCCGGTGGAAGCGATCACAGAAACGTGTCGGTATTAAGTGGTTGACAGAGTTACTTTCTTTGCCGTTTGAGTTTTTAAACACATTTTTTTTTTATCTTTACCTGGACGAGCGTGTGCGGGGTTATAACCAGCTGAGCTGAGCCTCCACACCACCCTGTGTGTGTGTGTACGTGTTTGTAACCGGTGTGTGTGTTGCTCTCCGGGCCCCCTCGGTGTGCGAGTGCCCCGCTGCGACAATGGCAGCTGACAAGACAGGTTTACACGCACACACACACACACACATGCGAGCCGGAGGATCTAGATAAGCTGTGTTGCGAGGCTTTGGGGGGGGGGACATCCATTACAACAACCCCTGCGGTCCGCAACCCCTGCGGCTAGTTTCTGCTCCTCACACACTGAGAGACAAACTGCCCTGACACACGCACACACACACACAGATGCTAAAAGAAACACACGATGACAGAAAATTGCCAGCCACACTTTCACACGCGGGGAAGTCTGATGGAAACAGTTCCACGTACATGTTCCGTCTCACTCCGAGACGCGTAAAAAATTCATGGAGAAGAATTACGAGCAGAAGGCAGACAAAAGGGGCCGAACGTGTCATGTTGACGGTAGGGTGGTGAACGCATTTGACAGGGAAAACCTGTGGTACCAGAGTTTTGACAGGGGAGGCAGGGCCGACTGACTTTCGAGCGCGTGTTTGGGGCAAATTGTGGAAAAACCGTTGGCTGCGTTTTTGCAGATGTAAGGAAAGATTCATGTTCACGGGCGTGTGGCTTCTCCGTTGGGCCGCACGCACAAACAGGGTTACCGCCGCTCTCTTAATTGGACCTAGTGAGAAGCCAGTGGACGTTCATCCCCGACGAGTCGCCGGGAGCCAAGGTGGTCGTCGGGGCAGCCAGACAATTAGGGAAGAAAGCAACCGAAGGTCCCGCCCACGAGTTTGACCCCGGCGACAATTAGAGGCCGGGCTGCAGCAGATAAGGCAGGCCGGAGAAAGTAGGGCGCCTCTGGCTGCCCGCACCAGCATTGGAACACGCCCCACGGTGGAACATGGGGGATAATAAATGAATATCTATCTTAAAATCCCTGCGTGTCAGGCCGCATCTCTGGCGGACGGTGCGGGGCGAGGAGTGCGGAGGGGAGAAGTGGCCATCGCTTTAGCTTAGTGTGCAGAAGCGGGACCTCGCTGCCACGGAGGCTGAATGTGGTTTGTGACATTTTCAGTGCATTGCAGTGTTTCTCTAAACTTTCCCCGTTGCACTCTGCTTCCCACTATCTATCAAAAACGCCTTAAAAAATGCAGAAATAACACAGAGGCTCCGAGTCACTCGTGCTGATTCAACACAATATCATTGTCATCCTGAAAAGTGAATCCAAGTGTGAGAGGTGGGGGGAGAAAAAAAAAGGTCCCAATTATACTACAAACAATTTACTTCTCATTTTCCCGTCTCCTGAGCACTGGGCCGGTTGAAGATGATGGACGCGAGCAATTTCTCTAATACGGCAAACATGCAAATCACTTTGAGAGTCTGTCCCCTGGCACTTTCCCCCCACGGTACTCTAGATTGCAGCCTCCCGTCCTAATTGTTCCCAAACATTGCACGCTAGCAGCGCGATATAATTGAGAGCGAGGAGACGCTGATCTCCTGTGATCGAGAGCCTTGCATAAATGAGCATTCACAACACTGGCTTTCCTCAGGAAATCGGCAGGCCGGAGAAAACGAGGCTCCGGTCCCACCTGAAGTCGGAACTGGAGGGGATTTTTCTCCCTCGCTACACCTGGTAGAGTTCATGAACATTTTTCCCTCTTCTTGAAAACTCAGTCCTTTGTTCTAACAACTGCCCTTTGGCCTTCAAGACTTCAAGTGGGCAAAGTTACAGGCCCTGAAAATCCAAGAGTTGAGGAAAAAAAAAGGTTTTATCAATATCCCGCCTCTTTAAAAAAATTCTATGGAGAAAACAGACATGATATTTCTATTTCTTTATCAATATTGTAAAATAACAATGTAGAAGAAATATTTGGTGGTTTAAATAAACTGCTCCAAACACTGAAAACCGCAGAATAGTGGAGCTAATACAGCTGTGGGGTCACGGGCGGGGATGAGGAATGAGCCAGAGACGTCTGCTAAATTAAATCTGAAGCCCTTTTGCATGAGTGCCGCATAGCTTTTAAAATAACAGCCAAATGTACAATTTTCCTGGAGGGAACAAGATCAAAAGACAAGCAGACAAGCTAAAAAGCTCTTTGTTGATTCGTATTTATTATACTAATTCAATTTCTTCTTGTGCAGACCGGTATTGTATCTATAAAGATGGCACAGAGCACTTCTGAGAGACTGAGAGATTCATCTCATGTCAACCGTCTCAGTTACTTATGCTATGTAGTAACATAGACTATACTTTACTGTATGTTAAAATGTTAACAGAACGACACACAACTTGATGAATAAAGACGAGGACGAGCAGGTAAAGCATTTGTTAGCCTCACTATAGCGATGAGATCACAGGAAAAGTTCCCACCGTTGGGTTAGACATTCAGCAGTTTCAGGCAGGAGTGGAAAGTTGACTTAACCTATCCAGGTCCTGGTTCGTTTGAAAATTTCTCTTGATGCTGCGTTGTTGATGAGACGCACCCAACTGAAAGCTTATCTGACTGCGCTAAATAGGAAAGTATGCGGAAAACTTTATTCTAGGAAAGCTAACGGACACGGTTTGTTGAATACACACAAAAGTGGAAACTACTTCAGTTACTTAAAGCCTAGAGTACCAGTTCCCATGTACATTTACGACGTGCTGACAACAGGGGGGGGGGGGGTCCAACAAGGGAAACATCTAAAACCTGAAGCGGCCGTATCCCATTTAGACGTGATAGAAAATACCCCGACAGCGCAAACGAGCCTCATAAAGAGAACAAGGAAACGCAACGCGTCGACCTGATTCGACTGGCCTTTTTCTGAGCCGCTTCGGAATCTCAAACACAAACCAACCGCCTCTCCTCTGTTCCTCTTTGGGTCCCCGAGTCACCCGGGGTGAGTGCGGGTAAAGAGAGGAAAGTGAAGCTTGTCTATGGTGTCAGTACACGTTTCTCCCCGCGGAGCTATCGGTAATTAAGCGTGAGATTGCTCTCTCTCCGCTTCCCTCCCCTGTCCCTCATGCTGTTGATCCCTGAGACGTCAAGTTGACGCACTGCTTCCCGAAACAGCCGGCGGTTTTGTTTACGGCATCGTCAGGAGTCCAGCGGAGTCCAGCTCACGCCAGGTGCCCCTAACTCTTTTTGTGTTTTTTGTTTAGCACTGCAACACATCGCTGGTGAAAGCTCAGCTCTCTAAAATCCTTAGAGGTCCACCACGCGGCCACCTCTCACGCCACAGCGTTTGACAACCGGCCCGGGATCCGTAGAAACGAAAGGCCCTGGAAAATGGAAGGCGCCGCTCCCCCCTCAGACGGAGGAGACAAAAAATAAAAATCGAAGAAAAGTTAGAGTAGGCAAATGGTGCTGCTATGGTTAAGTTACCAAAGTCCAATACCTGGCATCGAAAGGCTGCTTCCTGGGTATTGACAAAAGAGATACTCGATCGGGGTTCCACCTCCGGAAAGTCGTATAAAAGCTCGTTCGTACCCTCAACTTTATTGACTTGCTTTGGTATTAATAATATGTGGCATGAAATTTTCCCAGAGATGCTATGACTTATCTTACTTGATGTGACCTTGTTTTTAGGGGGGATGTATCTCGGCTCAGTCACCATCAGTGCAGATCGCTGGTGCCACATAGACACGGCGGATATGGGGCGCCTCGCATTAATTTTCCTTCTCCTGGATCTTGTAACCTTGCTGGACGTCTTGACTCATTCTGTCAGCTCGGTCCCCGGAACTACAGGAGCTTCTGTGGCATTTTATCGCAGCTCTCGCCGTGGCCTCTCTCGCACTTGCGCTACACACAGTAAGTTGTCAGCGGCGGCATGAAGGGCCCGGCGATCTGACGCTGGGGTGGAGGGGATGATAACAATAGTCCGCCGTCCAAACAGCCGAAACCGCTCCCCCCGCGCTGGCTCACCCGTGAGGGAGAGAGTTATTGCTTTAATATAGACAACGAACGGTTCAATTTGTGCTCGGGGTGTCAGAGGACTGCTTGGCGTGATTACTTTCTTGGCACCGTGGCGACATTCATTGGCTTGGACCCGGGACGTATTGAGGAGAGAGGCCTCTCTCCGCCCAGAATGGGGGTGAGTGACGGGTAGAGATGGAGAGAGAGAGAGAGAGAGAGAGACGAATGAAAAGAGAGGAAGGCAGAGAAAGGCACGGCCGGCTTTGCACACCTGAGTGAACAGCAGCACTTCAATCCTCGGCAGAATGAGAAATACTGTATCCTGACCTTGGCTGATCAAGCGGGGAAAAAAGGAGGGCAGAGGCAATCCACCGGAGCTCAGTCCCAAAAAGGATCTGAAAACTCATTAAGTTGAGGTGAAGGGAGAAGAATGCTTGTTTTCACGCTTTTGTCACATTTTTAACCTGATTAGCAAGAAAAAGAGCCGTTCGGGGTGACATGCTCCCACGTCCAAAGCGTCCGGTTCTTTGGGTTCTATAGTCAGGCTAGTTTAGTTTTCAAACTGGGAACACAAAGGCTTAAATACTATTCAAAGACAGTGCGAATGGACAGTGTTTCTTCAAATACATCCCAGTCACACGGCATTGTTTTCCATCCCATCCTCTTAATTCTTTTTTTTTTATTGTAAAAACACACACCTCTTCATAAATGCATCACAAGCAAAGTGGGCCGTTGACATATGGAGTGGGAAAGCCTAAGATTAAACCAACAAAACCATCCAAACCACCTACCTCCATAACCACAGCTCCCCCTCGTTTATTTATGAATTCTGCATGTAGGTGTGTTTTAGTCAGATTCCGTGATTTGATACTGGCGTGACAAACTAAACTGCTGTCGCTACCACACTGCTCCGACAGGATCGATTTTCACGCATGGGAATTATGGCGGAGGCTTTTTTGTGTCCTACCTGAATGGTGGGTGGCGAGCGCTGCTTGCGGGTGGTGGTGGTGGACAGGGTGGTGGTGGTCTCGATGAAGGTGGTGGACATCTCTGGCGGGACGGAGGTGGTGGTGCGCCCCGCCCCCCTGCTGGTGGGCACGTCGCCCACCAGCCGCACGCTGCCGTTCATCTTGATGTTGGGGTGGCCCTCGGCGGCCATGTTGAGCACCTTCAGGCCGTTGTAGTACAGGCCCGAGAGCTGGCCCTGGTAGGGACGCTTTCGGTCGTTCCCGCCAATAGAGATGGTGGCCTGGGTGTTGAAGATCGTCAGCTGGCGGCCTGGTGCACGGAAGAGTTATTGGACGTAACGAAAAGTGACATTGTAAGACTATTGTCACAACGTACGTACACACATATATGCACATGTTTCTATGTGTGTACTGTTATTCTGCTTGATGAAATAAGATGGCCTTCAAACTGTGATGATGATGATGTAGAATGGTTTTAGACAGTACTGTTTTCCATTATTTAAGAAGAGTCTAGCTATGTGCATCACTACTTATTGCAGCCAATTCCGAGGAAATACTGCAAGTGAGCACATTCAGATGTGTGAGAATTATCTGACAAATGAGCCGGGTCGTGCGCCCTACAGATATGTCTAATATTTCCTGGACAAAAACAAGTGGCTTTTGTGCGGTAAAGTCATGAATAAATATGCACACGGCCCCGACGACTGCAATTCTGACACGCCTCGACTAAGTAGCACAAAAACAACACGCCGCTCGGGCACTACTTACGGACAGAAAACACACCCAACTTTCACAGTACAGGAATCATAATTAAATCTCATTTGTATAATTTCCATAGCACAAAACACATTAGGTATGGAATGGCAGGGACAGGGGTGTTCATATCACAGAAAATGAAACAGCACGTGTGCATGCAGCAGTAATGGGATTTTTCAAACCTGTTAGTGTTTTAGCGGTTGTTAAAGGGACTTTATAATAAGGTTAAGACGATTATGTGCCATGAATTTTAAAAAGTAGTTTATAATGGTATTATGTGGAGTGAGGATTTGAATTAGGCACTTCAAAACAAAAAAAAGAAAGGGGGGGGGCTGACTTTTTAAATTCCTCTAAATGTATTAAACACAAACGTGGTGCTGAATTGATCATCTCAGTGATTGATATTCGCAGCTCTATAAGGGGCTGTCAGGTGGGCTCCAATTATCTCTCCATCACCAAAAAACAGGTTGGGATTTTATTTTTTGTGTGAGAGGTGCAACTGGATGAGTTACAGCTGAGGGGAGCATCTTTGGTCTGGAAGGTTTTTAGGACGACGTGCCCGCTAATGACTTTGTTCTCAAACACTGCTGATTATTTGTGCCAAGGGAGTTAAATCCTCCTCGCAAAGCAATCGGCCTACCGTTGCTCATAGATAAATGCCTCCTCCCCGTCAATTTTGCTCAAAAGATTAGGAGCACATGATGTTTGACATCTCTCCTCGTTGCACTGGTTGTAAAATCCTTTTCCAGTCCCTTTAACTGGACACCATGATTCGACAATATATAAAAAGATGGCAATGACAAGAAGGGACAAGAAAAATAAAAAGGGACGAACAGTCGAAACATAAAAAAAAAAATGCTTGGTTTACCATGTTTTTAAGGGGTTTAAGGGATGGCTTTTCATTCTCAAAGGTTGAAAGGGAGCAAGCTGATGACATGACAGATAATAAAATAAAACAAACGAACAAAAAAAAAAATTCTAGAAGTTTGACAAAGATTTACCTTTCTCCTGAAGCCAATCTTCTACTGGCCGGGTATATTTGAACGGGATTTTCTTATTTGCCATTTGATAGCGCTCAATGTCGCTGTTGCCTTTAAAGTTTGACAGTTTGACAAACAGCTTAAGACAGTTGGCAACAGCAACAGACATCACATATTTATACAGTGGTTTATGATGAGGTTTAACTTTGTTTAGAAAGATTTATAGAAGCTTTATAAGTTTTTTTTCCCAAGTGCTTTAGTTGATTTAAAAAAATAAACTTTCTATATTTACATAGCACACTCCACAGCAAGATGTTACAAAGCATTCAGGAATTAAAAGAACAGCAGGCATAAAAGGAGCGTAGACAATCTGCAAGAATAGGTTTAAACATTGCAAATGCATCACAATCGACATGATATATACGACAGAGTAAGAGGGCATCAAGTGGTTAACAACGAAAACATGCACTAAACGCTTTCCTCTGAAGCAAAATGCTGGTAATTAAGTTTCCCACTGGACATCACCTGCTTTTACATTTCGAGGGCCAACAAGCTGCTTTACCGTTTTGAGGTTTTGGATGGGAAAGCGGGGCAGAGCGAGAGGAAGAAGTGGTAATTGTCAGCGCAGAGGACCCCGTTGGGGGCGAAGTCCCACCGAGGCACAGGTTTGAAGAGGACAATGCATACAAATGAGATCATTACCGACAAAGTGGGAGGCCTTCGGCGTAAAAATAAGCATTCCCCTCTTCTCAGACCATAGCTAACCGCCCCAGGTGTGCGGAAAAATAAAGATAATAAACCTCCTTCTCGCTGAATCTCTGTGTGTCTGCTCAGATTGATCTTTTTTTTTTTTGGGCATGACACAGTTTCCCGTTGTGCATGTGCCACGGTGCGATGTTTTGTCTGACAATCACAGGGGCGGTCGCTCTTTGAGGTGCCACGACTCAGAGGATAGAGACCTACAAGTCTGACTCCTCACAACTTAAAAAAAAGAAAAGAAGAAGAAGAATATGTCAAATGTAAAGAATTATGGGTGACAATATGACGCCACTCAGCACCCAGGTGGGAAAGTACTAAAGAGCAAGAACAGGATTGGGAATCCTTTGAGGCTTCATAACTGTTTAAAATGTGCCCACTGGGGTTTGTGGGCTCGATCTGTGGGGAGTCACATGACTTTGGCAGTTTCCAGCCACGCCGCCGTTCGGTTATTAGCCTTTCATTACGTTACATTACACAACGCGGCCTCATAAAGCCGCACTGCTCTCTCCGTCCTGCTGATCATTTTCCGAGAAAAAATACAGCAAGCGCTCCGTTTGCACCTGTCTGGGGAAAAAAAAAGAAAAAGAAGGTGTGATTACGGCTGCAAAGGAGCTCTGGGAGCTAAAGGACTGTGTCTGCGGTGTGCCAGCAGGTTAATCAGCTGCTAGCAGGACTCCCTCCCCGTTCCTTTTGATGTGGAGAGGGGGTTGCAGGTGGCAGCCAAACCCGCTCTGCTCTGCACGGGGGAATCTGCTGAGAGAGGCGAGGTGTGTGAAATCTGGGGCCAGTTGGGAAAGTTTGAATTCTTTGTGAAGAGCCGACTGTATCCGCAAACATTACGTCATTTCTCCTCCTCGCCGAGCTTCTTCCGGAACGCTGTTTTCCGAGAAGAAGACAAACTTCGAAGTTCCCGGCTAATGGCATGGTCTCAGGTTTAGCTCTTACATTGTTGCGCGTGATTAATGAGGTGACAGCCCCCCCCCTTCCTTTAATGAATAGCACCACGAGCTAATTGTCCAACTAATGAGAAAAATCTCTATAGTTTGTCAATTTGATATTCAGTTTCTAGAGGTGACTTGAGAATGGATCACCTTGCCAATAAAAGCGCTATTGTTTATTACTAAATCACTCTGCCTTCAAGGTTTCCTTTCTTTTCCTCAACGCAGAGTGTGCAAATCATTCCTCAAAGCTTTGCTCTCAATCTTAAATGACGAAAGGGTCAAACAGGAGAAGAGAATGGAAAGACGACGTGATTTGATGCTTCCCAAGATTCCATTCTATCAAACATAGTTTACTTGACCGTTTTAGAGTCATTGGAATATTTTCCAAGTATGTTTTAAAAGATGGAATGATTCTGTGATACAATCTTCCGTAGCCCAGACAGGCAGGCTAAGCTAAGCTACAAACCGTGAGGGCACAAGGCCTCTTTAAAATTACAGTAAATCAAAACATTAAAACTAGGAAAGTTTGACAGTGCTGGACAGAAAATCAATGAAAGATTGTATGTTCCATGATGTCTGTTCATGTATGTTCGTCTGACAAGGAGCTAGCTAACCGTTCTGTCTTCCTTCTGGGAAAAACTTGCACTGCATACTTAGATTGCCAAGAAATAATGAGGCAAAGAGTACATTAAAACAAATGCGTGAAAAAAGTTCAGATCAGCATAATCAGATCCATAGCTGTCTGGAGAGCTAGCCCTGGGAGATTCACGACTATTCACTAACCCCAAAGGCCAAAGTTAGTCAGTTTGCAGCGTTTTTGTGCACGGTGATGGCGATATAAAGTTGAGGATCACTGCCAACATCTGCCTCGTTTTTCACTTGATCAGTCTCAAAATCTGGGCACGACAAAATCGTCTGGGGAACGACGGGCAAAAAGGGAACGATTCAGAATGACCGCAACGTAGCCCCGTAGCTGGAAGGTGATCAGAAGATTCAGTATCTGCGGTGTACACAGATTGGTCCAGTTAAAGCAAACTTCACTTAGCTTCTTTAAGCTCCCCTGACATCTGTCCAATCCTATCTCAGGCAGACATGCCCTCAGCGTCTCAGGACAGAAAACGCTGCTCATTTTCTCACGATTTCGAAACCTCATTTCAAATACTTGCCAGTTGTTTAGTTAAGTGGTGAAAACAACTTTTTCCCTGCGATGTGACAAACTTATCATTCATAATTAGAATGATTTACTCAGGCTTTAAAGACCCAATCGGATAAAAACCCACACCCACGCAGCCGTGATGGTGCAGGCCTTGTTAAATCGTCAGCTCCTATCAGGGAAAAACAACGGAACAAGATAAATTTTCCAGGCCTTTTCATCTCGGTCCATATATGTAGATGAGATCACGGGGAAAATAAATTGTTGCTCATTATTCACACGGAGCACTGCTGACATGCAACCTGCTGCAACTGAGAGTGTATCCAATCTCCCTGCTCGCAGTATTTTTTTCCCCGATAAAGATCTACTCGCTCAAAAGAACTTCCTATTTATTCAGTAAGATACACTATCTTAGAATATTTCATGCATATTTTACGCTTTCCTGCACGCACATTTCTTTTTTTTTCCCCCAACAGCCAAACAGCTGAATGCAAACCTTTTTAATCCAGTAATAACCTATTTTAGCTGTTTTTTAATAAGATTCGTGTTGACACACAGTCTGCTTGTGTCGATTTTTTCCCCCCCCTGCAGTATTCCCTCATCATTTTTCCTCATCCCTGCCAAAACAATGTGTAGATTTTTTTTTTCCCCCTCATCGGTGGCAGTTATTCAGTCGACCCGAACGCTGGCATGGGGACGGCCGTCTGTTAGCCGGTCGCTTCATTTAGCTTCGTTCTATTCTGTTTGTTTGTTGGAATGATCTCACCAGGGCTCCCGTCCCAGGGCCAGAGATGGGAGCACATCAAAACTGAGAAAAGGGCTTCTGTGACAGAGTCCTGGCATCCTCTGTATTCAGGAGGGGGTGATGAATGTATTAAATATTGTGTGGCCCTGTCCAAAAATAAAAATCATCATCCCACTGTTAAAATCCAGAGCTAGATGATCAGGCTCCTGCAATCCACAAGTGACTTTTTATTTTCTTTAATCTTTTTTTTCTCCCCTCTCCTGGGTCATTCACTTCTATCCTCTCTCTTTCTCTTCAGCTCACCATCCATTGAGGGACATTCTGCTCGTTCATTAGCTACCTGCTATGCTCCCTCTATCTGTCTCAGTAATCAGCCCACTGCTCTCCTTCTCAGGCAGCCACAGCCACAATTCAGCTGTCATTTATCTGCTTTTCATTCGTCCTCTATTCCAATTTCCCCCTTCTCTACCCATCAGTTTGTCAACTTATTCCTGTCTTCCACTCCATTAAAGTTTGTATTCCCTCGGCAGGTGCACCCATGCGCCTCTGTCTCTTCGGCTGGCTCTCCTTTGATGCTCACTCCATTCTTTAGCCGACATCAGTCGAAGCCAGAGAGTAAATCCATCATTTATCAGCTGTTTCAGAAAATTCGAAGTGGAAAGGATCATTTTGACTGGTGGCTGCTGTCCTTAGCTTAGACTTTCTGTATTTGAAAGCATATGTGTTTGAAAAATGAACACGAGGCTGTTCTCCCCATGACCAACTCTCTGAAATAAAACAGAAATCATAGAACACAGACACACACACACACACGCACACACACACACAGAGACAGGCTTTCCCTCAGGCACCAACAGAGTAGTTAGGCTAATGGTTATTCATCTGAGACAAGGCCTGAACCGGAGCCAGCTCAAGGCAAAGGGTGATGCACAATTTCTGCCTCGACTCTGCCTCGTAATTCTTTGAATCAAAGATTCAAACTCACGCGAAAAGAAGAAAAAAAGAAAAAAAAAAAGAAAAAGATCATGTAATCAAACAGAACAGCCATTCTCAACGTTATATAAGGAAATTTGAGCCCTCCTTAACAAAGGCAAGCCCCTGCAGTAATGTGGGCTGTCACACAAGTACACAGGATTGTGGGAGAGACGCAAAAGCCGTGATGAGCGGCGACTGGAAGAGGAGGAGAGCCACGGATGAAAAGGAATTTGAGGACGGGAAAAGAATGGAGATCTGAGAGGGCAGTGTTTGAGGGGGAGAATAATTAGAGAAAGGGAAGAGACAAAGCAGACGACGCACACGTATTCCGGCAAATCCGACGCCCGCCCGCGCAAAAAAAACAAACAAACCGAAAAAAAAAACGTGTAAGCCGCAGAGGCCTCATGGAGATGTTGAAGTCCTTTTTCCAAACACGAACGGCCCGCACCTGCTTTGTGAGAACCAGCCTCCGTGCTCCAACTAAGACGCTGACTGATATCCAGTGGGTTTGACATGGCGGTCCGGAAACCTAATCTCTTGCTCTTCCTTTTACTTAATCGTCTGTGTGCCTGGATCTGTCCATAAATGCAGACTTC